CTGGTGGTGAGGGCACAGGTCTGCGCGGGCCTGGTCTCCCTTGTGCCGCACGCAGCCGCATGGAAGAGACACTGGAACCTCCTGATGCGTAGCCACCTTCTGGGGTCTCTGGGACTTGGTTCTGCAGAGGCTGGGTGGCTCCCTCTGCAGCCCAGTGTCCTCTGAGGGCGAGAAGTCAGCAGGTGAACGTGCTGTCCGCCAGTCCGTCTGCGGTCTCCCAGCCTCCTCCCAGCCGGTGGGTGGGTCCGAGGGCTGAGAGCAGAAACTGCGAGTGTGGGCGTGGCCCTAGTGGCATCCCAGACACGGGTGGTCCCCTGAGCCTCTTCCTCCTGCTCACACTCCTGTGACTCTAACCTCCGCTGGGCTGTTTGTTCCGCAGACTCCGCTGCAGCGAGATGCTGGCTGTGCGTGCAGGTCAGACACGGGGCTCCTGCTCACTGTTCTTCCCTGCAGAGCTGGGGAGAGCGTTGGAGCCCCACCCCAGCCACGCCAGCCCGCTCCCCCCACAGTCTGGCTGGTGGACGGCGGCTTCACGAAGGCCCGCGGAGCGTCTGAGCAGAGCTGCAGCCATCCCTGGCCTGCCCGCGCCGGGAGCCCTGGCCAGTCCTCGGACACTTCGAGGCCATCTCTGTCTTTCTTTTGACGCTACACGAGGCTCAGATGTTTGGTAGTTTAATATGATAGGTTCATGTGTTCAGAGGTGGCACCTGGACTGTGGGCAGGGAGGACAGGCTGTTTCCCAGGGACATGGTATCGGCCGGTCAGAGGCCCCACCCCCGCATCCCTGCAACAGGACACTGTCCCCAGACCTTCCTTCCCACAGCATCCTGAGGGGTAGGTCTGTGGTCTTTGAGGGGAGCAGGTATTTCTGCAGCTTTGGAACAAGAGGCAGCCTTTGTTCCAATGTCTGAATCAAAGGGAAACGGTTTCATTGTTCAGTTACGGGCACTGTATGAAGACGTATCTACACCACGGCCCCAGGCAGCGGGCGGGGCGGGGAGTGCCCTGCGGGCAGCACTTCCAGGTCAAGGGCAGAACCTGGTCGTCAGGAAGCGCTGGCCTGCGCCCCCCCACCGGGGCCAGGAGCTCATGTGCTGCGTTTTGCTGTTTGCATCGCCGGCCACCCGATCCCGCAGGTTCCCACGCGCCCTCGTGATCTGGTGGACATGGGCGCAGGACTAGATGCGTGTGGCTTTGCTGCTGCCGCCTGCGTCTGACATGTGAGTGCCCACTTCTTGGGAGCGACTCATTTTAACGGATGAATTCTCGCCGGGAAACGTGCCATGAATGCTCTTCCTCTGACAGGGAGGTAGGACTCCGGGCCTCGTGCCCATCCTTTCGCTTGAGGGGATGTCGGGGACCCCTGCTGCCCTCGCCAGGACAGGATGCTGGCCCCTCCTCCTGGCCTCTCAGGCCTGCGTGGGCATCTCCAGCTCCTGGACTAGATGGGGCTGGTGCCTGAACTCACCTTGGAGGCTGCAGCGAGAGGGCCCGTCCTAGTGAGGGGCCCCTGGGAGCATCCTTCCAGCCCTTCTGGAAGGTTCTGTGCAGGGAAGGCTGCCTGTGGGGCACACGTGTGTGCGTGCATGTGGACACAGGCCTTAGCGGCCAGGGCCTCTCGCCACCCGAGGACTGACCGGCCCACATGTCCCTTCTCGCCTCTGCTTTCCTTCCCCACACGAGTCAGGGCACCTTTCCCGTGCCTCCTGGGCCCGCCCACCCTGCTGTCCTCACTGTGTGTCGTCGGGGGGACGGATGGGCGGTGCTCAGCGCTTGGTCGGGGGTGCGCCTCTGACTTCGTTACGACAGCGTGCGCTCTGCGTGCGTGGTCAGCCCTGCCTACGAGACCGCCGCGTCTTGGTGGACGTATTAGCCGATTGCTATTTTCCCGTTGGCTCCGTAGGTGCTGAGCGCTGCTGCGTGTCCAGACTGTGCAGGGGAGTGGGGTTAAGCTGGGGGGTGTCCAGCCGGACCAGCCAGAGCTCTTGCTGGGCGATGCTGTGTTGAGTCATGGACCCAAGAAACCTAGCGAGAGCTTCGGCCTCTCCGCCGCAAGCCGCGCATAAACAGGCCCTCGCGGGTCGCCTCAGGGGCCCGTGGGCCTGTGCGGAGGGTCACGGGTTCCTGGGACCCCAGCTGAGAGCCACTTGTCTTGATGTGACAAGTCCCTGAAGAGCTGGCTGGTAACTCGTTGTCACCGGCATTTGGGGAGATAGAGATACTGGTAGCTGGACCCTCATGCGCTTCCTTTTTAAGAAAACCTAGAGCAGCGTCATCTCCCTGTGGTATCAGCCAGAGGAGGCAGCCGGCCGGGCGGGAGCTAGCTCTTCAGGTCGCTGGGAGGGAGAGCAGCGCGGTGGGTCCGTCTGAGGCCCGCCTCCCCGCAGGCTGCAGTGGGCTTCGTCCCGCACTGTATTTCCATGCATCTGGGTGTTCTGGGCTTTTATTACTGTTGATGGTCTCCTGGGACATATTCAGTTCAATTATTAGTCCGTCCACTCAAGAAGCTGTTCTTTGATTTCATTCTAACCATGAAATATTCATTCCTGTACATACTTACAAAAAGTTCGTCATACCAGAAAAGAATATTCAATGTTATTTTAAATATTGACCATTTTCTTCACCACCCAATATCCCTAAATGAAAACTCCTCAGAAAGTGTTTATATTCCAAACTGAAGTTATTTGTAACTCCTTTCTTTAAAAGGGGTAGATTTTCCCATCTCCCATTATCTTTTTATTCTTCCTCTTTTCTCTTTATTTACAACATAGACTGACTACCTGCTGTTTGTGAGGTGATTTAACTGATACAACGTCGCATACGAATTGTGAGGGAAACTTTGTTCTGCCTTCACCCCTTACCTCCCTGTATGACCTGAAGGAATCAGTTTACACCGAAGAACTCCTGAGCAGGCAGCCTGGGCTCCTGTCAGCGGGTCCGCGGGGGCCGCTTAGTCACTTAGGGGTGGGTTCTGACCAGGCCGTGGGCCTCTTTCCCAGTCGTAGGCGCCTCCTGTTTGGCTGGTCACCCCCGGCTTGATTTTGCCCTTCACTCTGTGTTGCGGCCAAAGGTGAACTGAGTTGGGGAGGGGGGGGTGAAAGGATTAAGGAAAGACAGACAAGAGAATGAAAGCTGGGTCTCGGTGAGATGCTGCTCCCTGATGAGACAGCGTCAGCGCCCACAAGCCGTGTCTTTATTTTATAGCAGATGCCACGAGGCAAAGTAGGGGCGTGATCAAGTTGTTTACAGCATTCTCCTGAGTTTCAACCTCACTCAACTATATGCACCTGAACTCTATCACAAGGCACGTGGGGCCACGTGTTCGGACCATAGGTTCAAGCTTACAACCACAGCTGTTGGCTATGATTGTGCTGGGAGGGCCCTGCCCTCCAGCTGGGACTTGCACGTGGCAATGAGAGGACCCTGTCCTTTCATTAGTCCGAGGCTTGATCCTGGCCAAAACACCATAGCCGCGCCCCATAACTCTGCCCAGGGCTCGTCAGATTGGAAGGAGCTGAATGGACCGGCTTTTGTGAATGTTCTCGTCATCTCATGTGGGGCCTTTGTCCGTGCTGTCCCTGTCCTGCAGCGTGTGCTGGCTGTCACCTGGCCATAGGCCTCTGCGGTCTGGCCTTCCTCAGAGCCCTGCTGCGGCCATGATGCACGATAGCTGTTTCCCGGGCCACCGCCCCTCCCCAAGGCCGCGGGCTCCGGCCAGCGGCCCTCATACTCAAGTGGCCCGCAGCACAGACCCTGCCTGCTAAGGCCCCGTCCCTGCCGCAAACACATGCACGCTCTCCTGCGCCCGCCTCCTGCCTGCCGTGGCCTCTTTCCACGTCTGCTTCTGTTTGTCCAGCCGGCGCACCCAGACACGCCCTCTGGGCTGTCCCCGAGCTCTGCTGAGCGGGCAAAGTGCACAGTCCTTTCCGCAGACACACCCCTGCTGGCCCTCCCGAGGCCCGAGGCCCGGGGTGGGGAGGCACTTTCATCACCTGCCTGTCGTTGGCGAGCCTCTGCTGGCCCAGGGCAGACACTCACTGTCCTAGAAACAATGCCTCCCAGCCCGGTCCTGCTCCGGCCCTGCAGCCTCCGGCCCCCTTCATGCCCCGCTGGCTCAGGGGCCTCACAGTGCAGCGGGACGGAATGCCATGCAGGCACTGCCTGTGGTTTGATGTGTGCTCCCTGTAGACATTCCAGATCCACTCCACAGGAACGAACGCACTCAACACATTCCTCGGGCAAAATAGATGCTCTCCTTGAGGGCTGAGCTGCTGTGGACGAGTTGTTCTACGAAGACGCTGGGCTAGACCCTGCAGCTTTCTTCACGCTGTTCGTGTCCTGCAACACAGAGCAGCACCTGCTACGCCCGGAGGCCTGGTCTAGGGGCTGCACAGCGGCGGTTGACGGCGGCGCTGGTCTCTTGCTGTAGGTCTGGTCCAGGGTGTCCGCAGGATTCGAACCCAGGTCTTCCTTCCATCCAGGCCACGGTGCTTGGTAACAGATGGGTGTTGAGTGAGTTTTTATTTCTCCAGCAGAATCAGTGGTGGTGCTTGGCACCTCGTGGGCACTCACTGCTCAGCAGCCGCGCTGCCAGGCGGAGGGTCCCCTTCCTGCTCTGCTTCTCAGGCGGCGCCACCTCCTGAGAGCAGGAGGGCGGCCGGGTGGTGTGCCGCCGCCTCTCTGGGCTGCGTCCGGTGCAGCGCTGTCCAGGGCGGGCGGTGGCCATCAGGGTCCCTTCTCACCGAGCAGGAGGAGGGTCTAGTCCACAGTCTTTGCCCGGGCTCCACGGTCAGCCTCCCGGGGCCGTGCCACGCGGGTTCCATGAGTGAGCCCAGCACCTGCACACGCCCAGGTCGCCAAGGTTCTGCTCAGTGACCAGGGATGTAAAAAACGACCCTGCTTCTCAGGACTCACGCGGGGCCTCGAAGATGAAACTTTCCTTGATGGGGCCCAGGTGTGCATCTACAGATTTAGCCCCGTCCATCTCTCTGCAGATAAAGGGAATTGAGGCTTAGGAGAACCAGTTTGGGAGAAAGACTTAGTCGTGAGTGAAGCGGAAGTGCTGTCCTGATTTCTCAGGTGTTCGGCAGCCAGAGGGTTCTCTTCAGACCTCTGTGGGACCAGTGGGGTAGGGTGGACGTGCATTTTGTATTTGATTGGCTGTCTGATGCTTGCTCTATGCTCAGTGTGCGGATGCAAGAGGCCTTGGTTGGAGGGGCTGGCTCTGAATGCAGATGCCCCCCTCAAAGGCTGCTGATTCTGATAGGGGAGGCACAGTAGGACGGTGGGTGCCTAGGAGACCTTAGGGTCTTCATGATAGCACTGTGACTTCTCGTGGTGACAGACTGTAAGCAGGCTGACCCCGAGGACCGTGTCCCTGGGGGACACTTCCCTGGGAGGCGGATTGATGTGACTTAGCTGCCGTCCAACCTCAGCAGAACAGCCCTTTCAGGGGCCTCCTGGGCGCCCTGGGCTCCGTGTCAGGCCCCCGGGGGCCGGGCCTCGGCTTCCTCGTGCTGCTCTGTGCAACTGCAGGCGGTTGGGCTGTGTCCTCGGGTCTCACCGGGGAAATAGGCAACAATGCTGTCTGCTTGTACTGTGGGGTCATTACCGGAATCGGATGAGTAACGTGTGAAAATACTTTGAAAGCGGGCAGCTGCCCAATGTCGTCCTTTGTGACCACGGAGAAATTGAGTTTGGTGGCAGTGGCACGTGTGTCTAGTCACGCTGGCCCCAGGGTGTGCGTGCAGGGTTGGCAGACACCTGATCACAGGCAGGGCTGTGGGAAGTGAAGGGCCATCCCTGGGAGGGGCAGGCCGTGCACCCTGATGGCCAGGTCCTGGGGGCAGCACCGCGAGCAATGCTCCTTCAGTGGGAAGTGACGCTTGGGACTCGGGGAAAGTGAAGTGCCCTGGAGAGCAGGCGGTCACCCGTGGCTCCAGGCAGGGGACTTGCAGGACACCTCTGAGGGGAGACTGACTTCGGGGAGATTAGGGTGGACCGAGCAGTCGGTCCTTCTCTCTCCACCCCATCGGATCGGAGCCACGTGGCCTTGGGGGAGAGAAGCAGGAGCCTCAGGGTCATGGACACAGGCTCGCCTTTGGGCAGAATCGTCTGATTAGATGAGAGCAGGGCCGTGGGTTCTTATTCGAACAGTTGTTCAGCGTCTCAGCTCGTGGAAGCCACGGGGGTCTGGTGGGTGAGGTCCTCTGAAGCGGACGCGGGAAGATGCTCCGGGGGATGGGGGCCTGGACCGGAGCGTCGCCTCCACATGGACTGCCCCGGCCCTGCCCGCCTCCACAC